CACTTCACCACTGCTCATCAACAGATGAGAAGCCCAGACACACAAAATGCCCATCGGATGAACAGTCCTGGTGTTTTTATAATCGTGCCATTGCCAATGGTGAAGTTCCTGGAAGTCATGTTGACAATATAAAAACACCACTAAATGAGGTAGTGCTAAGTAACATAGCACCAATTTACAAGAGGCTAACTGAGACCTCTCTGTTACAAAGATGTCTTAGGGGGCAAACTCAAAATGCGAATGAAAGTTTGCATAGTTTCATTTGGCGCAGATGTGAAAAAACCAGGAGCGTTTCAAAAAAACTAGTTGAGTTAGCAGTAGCAGAAGGTGTGAGTGAGTATAACTTTGGAAACACTGCTGTCATTCATGCCCTTCAGAAATCCAATTTATCTCCAGGGAGGAAAAGTGTCGTTTTAGCAAAAGTTCGTGATCGTCGCAGAAAGCTGAAAATCAATCAAGGTAAATCAGAGAGGTTGAAGAGGCGAAGAAACTATTTAAGAATGAAGAATATTGCAGAAGAAGACAAGAAAATAGAGGAGGAAGGTCCAATGTATGGAGCTGGGGATTTCTAACTGAACAGTAAGTTACAAGCAATAAATCTTATGTTAAACCTTCTTGTGTCAAGTTTTTTGGCGTTTTCCGAAAGTGTGTTATTTTATGACGAGAAATGTTTTAGTTCAAGTATTTGAAGAGATATCACCATGATTTTGGTTTTGTTTTAATCAACATTAAATTGTCTATGAAATGGAGTATGGGTTTTAGATTTGGTTGTGACTAAATATTAAAAAATAAATAAAGAAACAAAAAAATTTTAGTTTTTTTAAAATCAGAACTTCAAAAATGTTTTTACCACACTATTTTCTGGATATCAAACAAACCCATACTCCATGTCATAGATAATGTTGCTAGGAAACAAAAACAATTTAAATTATTAATGTAGGGAAACAACTGTAGGCTCAAGACCGTTTCCTGTAAGTCACCGCAATTTTTTCAAATAGTCCCCCCCCAAGGGGGGGGGGTGGGTATAAAAAAAAATCAAACCTCAATTTTTTATTCTGAAGCATACCCAAAAATGCTATTAAGGTTGGGATAAAATATTCAAATAAATAAAAAAAATAATTTTTTTCGCAGACTCCCCCCTGAAAGTTTTATTACAATCTGTCGAGCGGTTTCGTAGTCCATAACGTTGAAATATATATATACACAAACTTCCTCTTTTATAAATATAGATATCATTGTACATCAACTTGGCTTCCTTAGATAAAGCCATGGCATAGGCCTAGTTTGGTAAAAATAAGGTTTCCGAGGGAACCACAGTTAAAATCTGTGGTAAATTCAAACCCAACTATAGCAGCAAAACCCTGCATTGCCTGGGTCAAAATAAAATTCACAATAATGGTAATAAAATAGGTGTTTTGATTGGGTAATACAGTATCTTGAACTAAACTGATTCAAACGATTAATATCTCAAATGAAAGTCTTTATTTTTATGAGTATTGTAAGACCAACGCATTAAAAATAAATTATAATCATTGTCGATTTGTGATTCAGCAGAGGGTGTTTTAGGTACGTCCAATCTTAATAATCAATAGTTCAAATGAAAGCTGGAATTTCATTTAAAGTTTGTTCTATGACCAAAACATGTAGGAGGATGTAAAATTAAACATAGGTATTTGAGAAGGTTGTAAAACCAAGTTTGGTTGTCCTTGATCAACCTACCCTAACCAACCAAACTGAGCTTGAAATTTACAGTAGTTAATCTACTATTTTGTGCATTTTCTCCAAATTTATATAGCATGTGATCAAAAACCTTTTCTAAATATTGTATTTTTCATTATTTACAAAAAAAAGGTTTCAATGAGTTATAATAGTGTAATTGGAAAAAATAGAGTTGTGGGCAAGTAACGGATTTTGACTAAAATAGGATACATCGCATGTTTATGTTGGCAACAGTATTAAATACCCCCGCCGCAGCAAACCTGCAGACTTAGCGAATTTCCATTTGCCTGATTGGATTTAAACTAAAATGTCTCCTTAAAAATATCACATTTATTCCCTATTTAAACAGAATTAGTTTAACGAGTACTTAGGTTTGCTGCAACAGGGAGGGTAAAAAAGTATTTTTTATGTAAAATATTAAAAGGTACTGTGGTTTAGTTAGAAATTAATGTATTTTCCAAATTTGATCAAAATATGTTCATAAACAAGCAAACTACAACAGTTGACTTATTCTCCATAAGAATAACATGGGAAATTTAAAATAACAATTTTTTTGAATTTTCTCCGTAACAGTTAGGCGCATAATAACGCTTCAATATACTAAATTATTTGTATTTTTAAGCTCTACAAAATGGTTTAAAAAGAAATTGTAAAATTTTGTGTTTTTAGGGTCAAAAATGGGAAAAACCTATTTTTACCCCATAAAACCCCCCATAAACCCCCGTTCCCATAGTCCGATCGTGCTGGTTCGCGAACTCATTCAAGTTTATCCCACCTTACACCTTCAAACCAAATTTTATCAAAATCGGACAAAAATTACTCAAGTTATCGTGCGGATGGACACATATATATATATATATATATATATATATATATATATTTCTCATAAGGTTAACATGGGAAACTCCAGAGCCACTGGGGCGGAGCCCTTTTAAGAATTTCGAAACGGGAAATAGTTTACTTCCTATTCGCATACCTACAGAATTTACACACCAAATTTCATAACGATCGGTGAAGTCGTTCCGGAGGAGTTTGCAGACAAACACTGTGACACGAGAATTTTATATATTAGATATAGATATATAAAAATTTGAACGAATGGTGTTTTTGGCCTCTGGGGACATCAAAATGAAAAAGTAAATCGGTCCCGGGCTTAGGTCTTACCATGAGACCTACGGTAATAGCTACTTCCCTATAGGGAAATTCGCTAAAATCAACAGTAATTAAAGCTGAGTGTAATTTAAGAATTGTTTTAAATTGGTTAGAAACTTATTACTCTGGAATGTTAAGAATTGTAATGTAAAAATTCTTATACATAAACTTTTTACTCTATGAATGAATGGGAGCATATTCAAGTCGTTTTCTCTCTCTCTCTCTCTGTCTCAAGTACACGACAAAATTATAGGTCTTTAAAATGTAAACATTGTAAACAAATAAAAAGAATGGCGGAATGGAATCCCATGTGAAATTTTCCAAAGTTTATATATGCATATTATGGCGATAATAGATTTTTCCTGGATATAAAACAGGTATAGAACTTATTTTGACACAGAACTTTTTTATACCGTAACTATCCCATATATAATATGAGTAATATACGTGTTAATATGTGCCGATTCCCAGATCCAAGTAACAAGTATCCAAACTTTACTCATATTATATCATAAAAACTATAGAATGGAAGTGTGCCATTTGGAAATTTTTGGTCAAGCCAAACTCAAGGTTATATCGTGATCATCTAACAATGTCGTAGAGACACCATCATCGACACTGCTATAACTGAAAAATCCTGAATATCTCACTCAGTCTCAGAAACATCACCACTGTTTTCCGTGGTCGAGACAAAATCCTGATATTATTCAGCGGTAAAGGAAACATTATAATCATCATCCTCACAAGCAATATTTTTTGGACATCATCAACGTTTCCTGCGGTCACGGAAACGCCATCGTCGTCGCCCGTGGTTGGAAACGTCATCGTCGTCTCCCGTAGTCACGGAAACGTCATCGTCGTCTCCTGCGGTCCCGGAAACGTCATTGTCGTCTACCGCGGTCACGGAAACGTCATCGTCGTCTCCCGCAGTCACGGAAACGTCATCGTCGTCTACCGCGGTCACGGAAACGTCATGGTCTCCCATTGTCACGGAAACGTCATCGTCGTCTCCCGCGGTCACGAAAAGTCATCTTTATGCGCAATCGCGGCAAATGGAAAATTCCCGGTAAAATACGAAATTCACGCATAATTCCCGGGTATTTTCCGGTTTAAAAAAATCACCCATCATTCCCGGTCGGTGGACACCCTGCCGTATTTTGATTAAAATCAAAATAATCAAACTGATAACACTAAACTAAAAGGAGTTTAGTTATGGGTTGAAGGGAAAATGAGGATATTTTGAATTGTAGTAAACTATATTTGTTGACATTTAAGCTCATGAACAGTTCAAAAAAGTATTTCAAGTATTACTTCAACCTAAGCTTGTGCAACATACCACATACACATATAAATTGTAAGATAAATATCACATTAACAAGCAATAAGACGGAAATATATAATAGGTAATAAAGTTAGCTTGTATATTAAAATACACTCACCTGATATTAAAAATTACTAAATTATTTATATAATCATTCACATAAGCTATTTTCCTTTACAAAAGCTTGAACTAAATTATTTATATATATGAGCAAAAACTGGTGATAAGTAATAATTAAGCTGATGAAGAATTGATTGAATCATCTCCAACAATGTTTCCAGGTGCCAAATACACTCTAACTTGCAACTCCACTCGAGCCGGTTCAACAGTTACCATAGTGTTGACATAACCGTAGCACAAAACAAAGCCACACATGACAGGAGTTCCTACTGACAGACCAGTCTCTGGTGTCAGTACACACTTGACTGCTGCTTTGTTACCCTTCCTCCACACCACTACCCTGTAACAACACAGACAGTGTTACTTAATGTATGTGACAAAACCACACATGACAGGAGTTCCTACTGACAGACCAGTCTCTGGTGTCAGTACACACTTGACTGCTGCTTTGTTACCCTTCCTCCACACCACTACCCTGTAACAACACAGACAGTGTTACTTAATGTATGTGACAAAACCACACATGACAGGAGTTCCTACTGACAGACCATTCTCTGGTGTCAGTACACACTTGACTGCTGCTTTGTTACCCTTCCTCCACACCACTACTCTGTAACAACACAGACAGTGTTACTTAATGTATGTGACAAAACCACACATGACAGGAGTTCCTACTGACAGACCATTCTCTGGTGTCAGTACACACTTGACTGCTGCTTTGTTACCCTTCCTCCACACCACTACCCTGTAACAACACAGACAGTGTTACTTAATGTATGTGACAAAACCACACATGACAGGAGTTCCTACTGACAGACCATTCTCTGGTGTCAGTACACACTTGACTGCTGCTTTGTTACCCTTCCTCCACACCACTACCCTGTAACAACACAGACAGTGTTACTTAATGTATGTGACAAAACCACACATGACAGGAGTTCCTACTGACAGACCATTCTCTGGTGTCAGTACACACTTGACTGCTGCTTTGTTACCCTTCCTCCACACCACTACCCTGTAACAACACAGACAGTGTTACTTAATGTATGTGACAAAACCACACATGACAGGAGTTCCTACTGACAGACCATTCTCTGGTGTCAGTACACACTTGACTGCTGCTTTGTTACCCTTCCTCCACACCACTACCCTGTAACAACACAGACAGTGTTACTTAATGTATGTGACAAAACCACACATGACAGGAGTTCCTACTGACAGACCATTCTCTGGTGTCAGTACACACTTGACTGCTGCTTTGTTACCCTTCCTCTACACCACCACTCTGCAACATCACACAGTGCGGACCCCTCCCACGGTGACGTAAACGCCATCACAGTCTTCCGTAATCGTGGACATCTCCCATAGTTTGTAAAAATTATTGTTGTCTCCCGCGGTCACAGAGAAGTCACCATAGTTTTCCGCGATTGTGGCAATATCCTGAACATCTTCAATTATTCAATCATCAATTATCAATTATTTAAGATGGGGACGCCACTATGTGCGTATTTTAACCCAAATATGAGTGAAGGATGAGTGTAGGATGAGTGGCGGGATCTTGTAGTCTTGTTAGTGACTAAGGCCGACATGTTCCTTAGACACAGCTGTTAATTAATAGCCCATACAGCTAATGGCATCTAAGGGACCTACAGTTTATAGTGGAATCCGAACCACATTTTTTTCCTTGTAATTTACGAATTGGTCTAATTATCAGGATAGTACTGCGGATAGTCGTAGTACTCACTAGTTGTCTTCCGTGGATTGTAGACATTATCGTCTTTTGCGGTCACTGAAACATTATTATCGTCATACGCAATCAGGGCAAAATCCTGGTCATCTTTCGCAGTTTGCAGACATTAACGTCGTCTATCATGGTCATGGAAACATCATGATAGCCTTACATGATCGCGGAAAAATCCTGACTTCCCCAGCGGTTTGCAGACATTATTGTAGTCTCTCGTGGTCACGGAAACATTATTATTGTCATCCGTGATTGCGGAAAAATCCGGGGCATCTCCAACACAATATACAGAGTGTATATTAAGTCCCGCACGGGCTTAATATTTTCTAAACGACAACAGATAAATCAATAAGATTTGGTACATCAACACCAAACCTAAAAATCTACTTTTTCAAGGAACTATGAATCCGCAAGGAGTCGGAAGGAAATCTTAAATAGGAGCATAGGTCAATATGCACATCAAATGAAAGGTATTTTTTAGTTGAATACAATGCCGCAAACCGCACTTCAAAAGGGGGTTTGTGGACTCGTCATGAATATTTGAGATCGCGAAGAAATCATTATCTCTATCCGTCATACTGGCAACATCTCCTGCAAACGAGGAGACATCACCATAATTACTTATTATGCGCTGAAATCTTTGATGGGCAAATTAAATTTAATCCTACCTGATGCTCAGGAATATAAATTTCCTGAAATTTCAGGACCCGTCCTCCCTTGTATGAAACCATCGGTACTTTCGTATTATACAGATGCCACTCATTTTACAGCGCGCTGCAGCGGTTATGTTAGGTTGGGTTATCATAAATATTTTTGTAGGACTTTCCTCGTTTCGTTATGAATTGAAGGATACCAGATGAGTCATGAAAAATGTATGATAACCTAACCTGACCTAACCGCCTCAGCGCGCTTTAGTACCAAATAATCTCCAGCTGGCTATTTGATACATAGAACTGCTATAGCTATAGCAGTGACATTGTGATAATTTCCAGCGGTCGTAGCAACATTGTACATTTTCAATCGCAATAATGAAAAGCTCTGCTCAGTTTGATTTTATCTTACTTGATTCTCATGGGACTTAAGATTTTACTAATAAAAGTTCACATTTTGATATTTGTTCGGTTTTAAAGTTGGAACAATTATTGCGAGGTTTGTTCGTACACTACTTCCAAACATTAGGTGATATGCTGATGTACCAGTTGAATTCGGGGATTGCCTGAGTTACATTAGAAGTCTTTGGATTTTATTTTGCAGTGTACTCTTTTCTCCCTCCATGGATGTTGCCTTCTTGACAGTCTGCACGTATCTTTCAGCCTGGCCGTTTGAGTTTGGATGGTATGGTGCCGTTCTTCTGTGAATAATCCCACATTCATTCATGAAGTTTTTGATCTCTTGAGAAACAAACTGTCTTCCATTATCTGAAACTAAGATGAGACGAAACCCAATAGTTAGATAGATAGATAGAAATAGATTTTCTGTTATTCTTGGACTGTCCATGTACTTGTAGTTGTTTTTGTCTGTATCACCTCCACCCACTTACTAAAGGCACCCACTAATATCAGGTACTGTTGGCCATCTGTTGGTCCTAAGAAATCAATGTGCACCCTCTCCCATGGATTAGAAGGTTGTTCCTATGGATAGATAATTTTTCTCGGGTTGTTGCATTTTTCAATGCATTGTTGACAGTCAGCTACCATCTCTTCAATATCCTTGTCTATACTTTTCCACCAGCAAAAACTGTGAGATAAAGCCTTCATTTTTATTTCTCCTAAATGAGCTACATGTAGTTCTCGAAGCACATGAGGTCTGAGAGATTAAGGCATCATGACTCTCCAGCCCTTCAGTACACAATCACCTTGAATGGACAGCTCGTTATCGTGAAATCCGTATTGTTCAACAGATTGTCCCGATTTTAAGGCCTGTAGGACTGGACCCAAAACAGCATCGTTGAGTTTCCTTTGCCACCACGATACTGTTGATATTGAGTGTCTCCAGTTGATTTATGTGGTACTTCAAGATGTTCTTGTACAACTTCGATAGGGAAACGTGAGAGATAATCTGCATTGCAATGATGAGCGGTTTGCCTCTCTATGTCATATTCGAACCCGGAGAGAAAGTGTGCATAGTTGAATATCTGTGTTGATGAAATTGTTGATAAGGTCTTTGCTGGATTAAAAATTTATACTAGTGGTTTGTGATCTGTGATCAAAGTAAATTTGTGGCCAGAACAAACCGGGAAAAACTTTTTCAGGCCCCAATATATTCCCAAGGCTTCCTTATCGATTTGAGAGTATTTTTGTTCTGATTTTGACAAAGATCGAGAGGCGAAGGCAATTGGCCTGTCTTTTCCATCCCTATAGTGGTGCGAAAGAACGGCTCCCACACCTACCGGCGAAGCACCAGTAGCTAAGACCAATGGCAAGCTAGGATCAATGTGCACCAGCACGCCGTCACTTGTAATAGTTTCCTTAATCTTCAGAAAACTCTGTTCACAAGCAGAGCTCCATTTAAAAGTGTTTCCTTTTTCGTAGCAGCCGATTCAAAGGATGTAGCAGTGTAGCCAAATTCTTTATGAATTTGTTGTAATAATTTGGAAGGCCTAGGAAAGTTCAGTTACGTTCTCTGGTCTTTTACATTTTAAAATGCTCGGTATTTTAGCATCTAACTTATGTAGTCCTTTGCTATCAATCACATGACCTCAGTACTCAATTTTGGTCTAGAAAAACTTACACTTTTCTCTATTTAACCTCAAATCATTTAACTTCAGTCGTTCAAACACCTGTTCCAGTCGGCAAAAAAGCTGTTACCTGTTAGATCCTTGGACAATTACGTCGACAAAGAAACATTGTACGCCTTCTGAGTTATGTAATATTTTGTCCATTAATCTTTGCCATAACAAGGGTGCCACTTTTACTCCAAACAATAATCTGTTCACTTTAAACAGCCCTTTATGAGTACTGATTGTTTGCATGATGGCACTGTCTTCGTCCATCTCCATGTGCAAGTATGCGTTACTGATATCAAGAGTACAAAATATCTTTCCACAATGTATCTTTGACACGTGACTCATAGCGACACGCTATTTTATATAGTGGGTGCATTTCGCGAAGCCGGGCTGCATGACCAACTCGTTGCCTGCCGCGACTGCATTAACGCTCTCTCCCCACCTCCCTACACTCTTGTCCTCTTTCTTCATCAACCGCCCTGACAATAGGAACAGCAAATTGTGATCTTCTCTACCGATGCAATGGATAAGTTATTCTAAATTATATCTATGTAGGAATTAATTAGTAATTATGTTGGACTAAGTCAGAAAACAAGCGGAGGAGCCCTTCCGGCTCACCAGACTATTGAAATGAAGGAAATTACAGCTTAGGCAGGTTGGCTGCCTTCTGCAGCCAACCTTCTCAAACCTGAAGACTCAATAACATGTCCCAGAATGTAACTTAATAGTTATCTATCAAATTCATACATATTTCACATTCAGTATTCAATTTACATATTATTTAACTCACTCATCAATATTAGTAAGTAATTATCCATGTTCAGTTCCTAGTTGGAAGGACAGGTCTACAGTTAGATAAATTAGTGTAAATCATAGCTGGCTAGGCAAGTGTTCTGATCTGGGTAAAAAGGTCTCCCTCTGTCCCTCTGGTCCCCAGCAATCTTCCTAATGTTATTGGTAGCAGATTCAGCACGCTAAAACTAAGTTTGGTCCTGACACAGCTATTCCTGACCTATTAGCATTACCCTGTTTATTCCCTCCTGATTCCCCGAATTCCCACCAATATCCCACACCATATATATTAACCTAACCCCCCTCATCACACTCATCAACCAATCCCCCCCCCCCCCCCCCGGCTACAGACATGATATCATCGATCTGAGGTATAGGGTAATGTTCGCCTTTAATAACTCTGTTCAAAGTCACCTTGTAGTCAGCACATATTCTGACTGAACCATTGGGTTTGACAACCGGCACAATGGGTGTGCCCCAATCCGATTATTCGACACGTGTGATTATACCCAAAGTCTCCAGTCTTTCAAGTTCCTTCTCTACTTTTTCTTGTAATGCATATGGCATGTCTCTCAGTTTGATGTAAATTGGCTGGGTTTCGTCTTTTACATTAAAATGGCCCTTTTCGTTTGGTATTTTCCCAAGGCATTCTTTGAAAATGTCTTCGTATCAAATCATCAAATTATCTAGTTCTTGAATGTTTTTGTTTTCTTCACTCAAATTTAATGAATGTATGTCAGCTGCATCAAGTTGAATCTCTCTTATCCATTCTCTTCCGAATATAGAGTCCACACACTTGTTAACAATGTACAGTTTTCTAACAAAACTTTGATCTTTATACTGAACATTTACAAAAACAACTCCTACTGGATTGATTATTTCCCCAGTGTAT